GTAACCCACCATATTAACCCTCTAAAAAAGAAAACCAACATTATCATATTATTAGAAGCAGAAAAAACATTTGATTATATTCAATGTCTATTGATGATAAAAATTTGCTGCAAACTTGGAATAGAAAGGAACTTCCTCAACCTAATAAAGAGCATCTATAAAAAATTCTATGGCTAACATCATACCTAATGTCGAAAAATTACATGTTTTCCCCATGATTAAAAACAAGTCAAGGCTGCCTGTGTGGCTCAGTTGGTTAAGCGACTGCTTTCGGCTCAGGTCATGATCCTGGAGTCCTGGGATCGAGTCCCACGTGAGGCTTCCTGCTCAGCAGGGAGTCTGCTTCTCCCTCTGACTCTCTTCCCTCTCATGCTCTCTATCTCTCATTCTCTATCAAATAAATAAATAAAATCTTCAAAAAAAATGTCAAGAATGTCCACTCTAACTACTTCTATTTGATAGTGTGTTAGTGCCCTAACCAATGCAAAAAGGCTAAAAATTGGAAAATAAATGAAATGGTCTTTATTTACACACAACATGATCGCCTAAATAAAAACCCCTAAGAGGGGTGCCTGGGTGGCTTAATCAGTTAAGTGTCTGCCTTGGGCTCAGGTCATGATCCCAGAGTCTTGGGACTGAGTCCTGCGTAGGGCTCCCTGCTCAGTGGGGAGCCTGCTTCTCCCTCTCCCTTCAGAGCTCCCCCTCCTTATGCTCACTCTCTCTCTCTCTCTGTCAAATCAATAAATACAATCTTAAAAAAAAACTCCTAAGAAATCTACAAGTTAGCTCCTACAACTAATAAGAGAGGTAAGCAAGATCACAGGAAACAAGATTAACATTAAAAAAAAACCATATTTCTATACTTCTGAACTTTTAGAAATTGAATTGTTTTTAAATGCCATTTACAGTAACTTCCTCCCCCCCCAAAAATATTTAGGTGTAAATCTATCAAAACATATATAAGATCTGTATGCTGAAAACTACAAAATACTGATGAGAGAAATCAAAGAAGAACTAAATAAATAAAGAGACCTATCATGTTCATGGACTAGAGACTCAACATGGTTAAGACATTAATTCTCCACAAACTGATCAGTAGATTTCATTCTATGTAGATATAGGCAACCTGATTCTAAAATCTATATGGAAAGTCAAAAGAACTACTACAGCCAAAACAATTTTGAAAGAGAAATACAAGAAGGATTGCACTATTTAATTTTAAGACTTACTATAAAGCTATAGTAAGCAAGATGGCATGGTATTGGTGGAAGGATAGACATATAGATGAATGAAATAGAATAAAGAGTCCAGAAATAGACCAACAGAAATATAGCCAGTTAACTTTTAATAAGTTACAAAGGTAATTCAACAGAGAGATATTATCTTGCCAACAGATGGTATTAGAATAATTGAACATTCATAGGGGCACCTGAGTGGCATCTGCCTTTGGCTCAGGGCATGATCTCAGGGTCCTGGGATTGAGCCCCACATTGGGCTCTCTGCTCAGTGGGGAGTCTGCTTCTCCCTCTGTACTCTCCCTCTCTCTCTTTCTCTCTCTCTCAAATAAATAAAATCTTTTTAAAAAATAATAATATAAAAAAACAAACTTTAACCCATAATTCACAACATATCTGAAAGTCAACTTGTTACAGTCCATTTAACTGTATGTAATTTTTTAAAATAATAAATGAATAAAAGTAAAAAAAAATTATGCTAACAGAAGATAATTTATTTGCCCAAGTTGGCAGATTGTAAACCTTAAAGTTAAGACAGTCTGTTATATAATTTATTTATTCATTGATCTCTCAGGAATTGGTAAGAGGTTTATATAAATAAATAAAAGCTATAACTACCTTGCAATAAAGATTTTCTTAGATATTTTAATAGCTCTTGGTAGAATTATTGTTGTTAAATGTTTTTCAAACTAATCTTAGAAGTCAAGAAGCTGGCTATTCAATTGCTTACGATTACACCATTTTTATTTCACTTTGAAATCCTTATTATCATACCTTGTCTAATTCATGTACGAGAAGAAAGATCTTTCTTTTGACAATACATCTTACCTGAAGGCAATCCAAAACAGTCAAGTATATACTAGGTCCATCCACAAAAAGAGGTACACTAATTCTTGAATGGGGGATGTGGGGGATGGCCCAAGGATAAGGAAACTTCTGTTCTCACTTTATACCTCACAATCTACTACTCTTTACTAGCTCTTCCTCAGTGGAGAAGGAGTTGCTAATCTGATTGTTCAGAGTCTGGAATTCTTTGGATGAAATCAGGGCACTGAAAAAAACATTTGAATCTGTGAACATACACTTTCTCACCCTGGAATAGGCCAAGAAATACCTGAAATTTTCTTGTATTCTCTTTTACTTTCAACACCAACGCCCAATGGTTTTTCTTCTTTCTTCCACTTTGACTTTGTCCACGAATTGGTAATAATGCCTTGATTTCCCCCCACAAAACCAGGAGCACCGTATGTAAAGTCCAGACACCCCAAAACTTTTTTTCTCCCAAATGGAAGCTTTTTCATAGCCACAGACTAAGTAACCTGGGTCACTTTAGTACTATGCACCAGAGCCAAAATATTTTTCCATACTGGTTGGAAGAGGGTAAACACCCTCTTTCCTTTGGCACTGCTGATATGCTTCTAAATCTTCTCACATTGCTCTACAAAGATTCCACCTTCAGTTTTGGGGGAAGGAAGGAGGAGGAATAGATAAGAGATTTAGGAAAAGCAAGGGGCCTCATTTTGTTTTTTGCCTCAGCCATGTGCCTCAGCTTAGTTTAATCTATATTTAGGGATAGATGGTACTTAAAGAGAAATTAATATATTTATACTTTGTTCCTCATTTAACTGTTATTAATTTTGTATCATTCCTTTAGAGGGAAGAAGTAATGCACGATAGGTTTTAGATAACTGAATCTTTAAATAATTAGTAGTCATGGTCCCTTACTATTAAGGGGTTTAAATATTAAAATGCACAAAATTAAAATCCTAAATTACAAAGCCTATGAATTGTATAAGAAGGAAGAAAAGTATAGAATTGAGTTGTCTGCCCTATGTAAACTGAGAAACCACTCAAAGACCCTGCCTAACTTAAGCCCTGTTCCTTATAAATTGTAGACTAATTGAAACAAGAGAATGCAAGGTTGTTTTATACCATGTAATAAGAGTGAATCCTAAGTAGAGTTATATAAATTCCCAACCATTTCTTCCTTTCTACATTGCACTTCTGGACTGAAACTTGCTTCCTGAATCTCTGTCACTTTTCACATTTGCCTTTAAGGTAAGCAAAGAGGCAGCAGAATCTTTCAAAGCAGGTCAATCCACAGAGGCAAGGCCAGAAGTAGACCTCAGGATTCTTGTTTCCCTTTGCTAAAATCCAAAGAGCTACAATGGGTTTAGAAGGGCACAGTACTCACTGACCCAATTATGAACAGCTCAATGTTAATTTATTATTATATTCATTTTGGATTATTACTTTATTTTATTTTACTTTATTAATTTTGGAATAATCATAGCACATGCCTCTGTTCCCTCCCTTCCTGGGTGGCTTGGAGAAAATGGGGGAGTATTTGCCTTGACTAGCACAAAACATCTGGATCCCTAATTATAGAGATTTAGAAAAGCAATAGTCCTGGAAATGAGGCTGTAATGATGAAAATCTGGCAGAGTTCAAAAACAATTCATTGTTCTGATATTCTTTCAGAATAAAATCACTATATGAGTTGGAAGACATATGATCAGTAAATGAAAAGGTAAGTTGACACAATATTTTTAGCACCCTATTCTTATTGCCCCAAAATGCTTATAATTTTTTAAGAGAAACTCAAAATTGAAGAAATGACCCAAAAAGTGTTTTCCCACAGGTTTCTATAACATATCCTATCCAGGTCAATTTATACCATCTCTGACAGTTATGAATAACTTCTACTTTCCCTGCAGGGGGGGAAAAAACTAATATGAAACTTAGAAGAAAAATGGAAAACTAAAGCCCTAACCAAGCACTAGTCTGCTTTAGACAGTTCAGTCCTCCCCAGGAATTACTCACTGCTCATTACACAGTCTTTCACCCACAATCATGCCTTTAGAAAATGTCTAGTTAACTTCACTCAACAACCCTAACTCTGGACCACACTAGCCCATCCTCACCTCAGAAGTGGAAGGACATTTCCCTTTGGCTACACCTAACCCTGGACCAAAAAACAGCTACCCCTGAAACAGAAAAGGCATTTTGTCAAAAAGATAGGTTCTGAGATAATCAGAGGACTCAGAAAGCTCCAGCTGAGGCTGGAAAGACTATCTGAAAGCAGCCCCTCTGGGGCTGGTAAAGGAGAAGTGATATTGCTTACCTCAGAGGGTAATTTGAAAATCAAATGAAATAATGGCATAAAAGTGCTTTATAAAGTGGTAAGAGGTTTATAAATGCAACGAAGAACTATTTTTTTCCAGCTTCACAGATCCTGTGCTGATTGAATATCCTTCACTGTACAGAACGACTTCCCCCCTTGAATTATTTGGGATGGTCAGCAGAAGGGCTTCTGGACTTTCCTCTGAGTCACTGCCTGTGGTGTCAGAACCGACAGAAACTCATTCCCACCTCCTCAGCTAACATCCTGTTTGGGGGGGCGGGTAGGGGGAACTTCCCCTTCTCAAGTTCTGCAATTCAAATTTTTGAAACCCAGACTCAATTCTTCCCTTTTAAAATTGCATTATACTTTTCCTCCCCAGCTATCTGAGGTCCAATGGCTACAGCAAATGCAAATGAACCTTTCAAATGAAAGAACCATCACAAACTTAGAGTTTTAGTCCCGTTACTCTTTTCCACACTCCCCTTTTTCCCACAGCAGTCTTTAATGGAAGCAGAGCCTAGAATTTGAGAGAAAGACCTTGTATCTATCCCTAGAGACAGCTTCGTAGGTGAACAATGACCATGCTTCTCCCGCTGCTCAACTTACACACCCATTACTCAACTACACACACATGCACACACCAGTAAGCTGGTCAACGGCAGGCAAATCGGACTCTTCACCAACTTGTAGCCACAGATAGCAGCAAAGGGACCAAAGTCCTTCACCGCCAGCTCCAAAAAGACGCCACCAGCGGCGCCGCAGTAGCAGCCTCTGCGCTGCAGCCTCCTGCCAGAGTTTCAGGTCTAATTCCTTGAGGAGTAATGCTCCTCTGCCCTTCGGCCCACTCCCGTGGCCTTCACCCACTTCTTTCCTCAGGACATCGGGAGGAACCGGATCACTTTGCCACTTTTGCAAAGGGGTAAGTGGCAGAGAAGAGGATTCCCACCGAAGTATCCCGAAGCCCACGACTCCTGGCCGGATCTCTGCACCCTCCCACCCACGTAGTCGCCTGTGCGTTTGGCAGAGGTCCCAGTTCTCAAGGTGCCTGAGCTCCGATGGGATGTGGAGGAACCAGGAGACCAGAGCAGCGGCGGGACTACGGCTGGGGATGGTTAGAAGACAGATGAGACGGGACTGGGGACAGGGGCGAAGACTCCGCACAGAGGCACTCTCCCGCCCCTAGCTTACAGACTAACTCCAAAACGCACAGATGGGAGGCAAGGTAAAGGCATTTTCTTCCTATGCTCTCCCTTCTCTTCCCCGCTCCCCGCCTGGACACCTGGTGAAAAAGCAACGTGCAGGTATACCTGGAGCGAACACCATGATTTCCTCCAGCCGCTACGCCCCTAGGTGAGGAGGACAAGACAGGCAGACGGAGGGGTGGGAGAAAGGCCAGAACTTGGAGGGGTCTGATGGGCGCAGATGGGCGCGCAGGGCGCGGGCCGGGATGGTCAGCACCTCGGACAGCTCCCCGCCGCGCGATCCCGGGGCCGCAGCTCCAGCAGCCGCGGCGCGCTCAGCCTCCACAATGCACTGCTCTGCCCGCGGCTACCGCTGCGGCGGGAGGAGGAGACCGAATCCTGTTCAGTTCATCCCTCATTCCTGTGCCAGCTCAGCGTACACTGCTGCTTAGGCAGCAAAACACTTCTATCGCTTCCACGGGAGAAGGAAGGACGGAAGAGGAAGAGAGAAAAAGGTAATTGCCCGGCTTCCCGGCAGGGGGACAAACTAATTGCTTCTAATTACCTGCTGTCTCTTGCCCCCGTGGATACTGGACTGACATTTAGAATGGGTTTGCCCTTTTTTTATATATATATATAACTCAAAGAACTTTACTCTTGAGGATGACTCTGAGTTCTCCGGGTTGGGTGACTCTGAATAAAGGGGTGGGGCCTCCAAGTTAATGGGCCTTTGGGGTCCATGACTCCTCTCTCACTCTGAGTCTCAGTATTCTGCTAACGTCAGAAAGAGAGCTAGAGGGAAGGACAGGGTGACTGGAGCACGTGAGGAGGGCGCCCCTATCAGGCCCCGCCCCCAGGCAGCCAATCAGGCTCTGACAGCTCCTAAACTTGGAGCTTCTCAAGGTCATCATTTTAGAGAAAGCAGGGTTGGCCAATGCACAAGAAAAAGACCTCAGTGAGATATGTCTTCACCGAGAAACACACACTCCATAAAAGGTTGAGCCAACAGTCCCCTTCAAGTATGAGAACAGCCCTGAGACTGATCAAGAAACATTAGAGCTTCCCCTATTTTCATCCGACTGAAAACTGCCCTCCCCATACACACCGAGTTCTAAAGTTACTGGGACATGCCCCACACTCATTTCATGCTTCTAATTCACTGCTCATTTTTAAATCATTATCTAGCTCCCCCAAGAAATGTTTGTGTAGTGTGCATAGCCCAGACTAGATGTTACCCAGCTTGAAACAAGTCCATCTGGGTTATAACCCCAGAGCTAATGAGACACAGGATCCTCCAGCCTCCAAGCACATGTCAGTTGCTTTGGGTTTTATTCTCTATTTTTGCAGCTGAAAGGAGTTTTCCAAGAACAAAGGGTGATCTGGGTCATTTCCAGTGTTTTATGGGGTTTCTTGCACCTCTCCCCAGACAATATAGCTATCCTGAAAATACAATATTTCTTAATAATTTGGTTGGTGGCCATAAGTTCTACACTCTTTTGCCAAATATAAAGCATTCAGATAGCCTTACTGACACTGGTTGTGTTCAAAGCCATCTGATAGATTTAGAATGCAAACAGTTTTACAGCTCTTGAACTGCAGTTTGCATGAAGCCATATGGGCAGCCTCAACATAACACAATCAGTGCTGCTCTTTGCATCTGGCTCAACACAGGCTTACACCGATGGAACCTGCCTCAGCAGCAACAAGATGCAAGTCAGCTGATGGGCAGGATAAGGTATGTGCGTGACAAGATGCAGTCCTTTCACTTCCCCCAAATTACACCAAAAAACAGGGACCAAGGGCACTTCATTCTGTCTTCTTTGCTTTATCACCAGAAGTGTGATACACTCTGAAATAATCTTTGAATGATTGAAAGGCCTCTTTAAAAGCTCTCTTTATAACTTTTATTTTTTAATGGGCTTTACTCTCTTAATGCATAAACAATTATTCATGATTAAGTTCAAGAAAAAGCAGTGTGGTGTAAGAAAAGAGAAAAGATTTGAGCACGAGTCAGACTCAAGTCCACCATTTACTAGCTGTGTGACCTTGGATAAGTTACTTAATTGTCTCATCTGCAATATAAGGATTAAGGTATTGTGAAGGTTTGTTGTGGGGATTAAATGTGATAATGTATTAACAGATTAATTAAGAGAGCACAGCCCCAATTAAACCCATTCCAGGAAATTGCTGACACATTGGGAATAGATGACGACACCCTACAGGAATGCAAACTAAATATGTTAAATCAGTACTTCTCAAATATTAATGTGTATATAAATCCCATGAAGATCTCCTTAAAATGCAGATTATGATTCAGTAGATCAGGGTGGGGAGAGATTCTGAGATTCTGCATTTCTAACAAGCTCCCAGGTAATTTCCAGGCTGCAGAGTGCTGCTGGTCCAAGATATATTTTGAGTAGCAAGGTATTAGATGTATCAGCATTTAAAAAGAGAGAAACTATTTATGCCACCTCCAACCTCAGAGCATGTCTTTGTAAATGTTAAATAAGGAAGGAATGCAGATATATTCCCATAGACTTCCAAACTACACAGAACCCAAGACAGTAGTAGAAATAAAGAATGCCTGAAAATGGTCCCAAGAGCATCATTGATTAGTTTGCTGTGGCAGTAGCGGGTAATATGATCCAGTAAAAACCAATGCAACAGGTCAAGGACAGAAGAAAAACCTCCTCAGCCCATCCTCAGCTCTTCTCTGCCCTTCTTTCTCCAGTGAACTCTTCATTTTCTCTACCCAACACCACATTGCTACCTAGCTAGAGGACAATATACTCCCAACCCAGTTTTTGCTTGTTTATATTTTAGTAAGGGCAATTAATATTATTCCCAGTAAAACCCAAGCACTCTAATACATTTTTATTTACAATTATTTCATCAGTAAATTTTATATTCAAGAATATTATCTCCAATTTTTGCTACTACTGGAGTTATTATTCTGTTGAATTAATTTAAATACCTAATAATGCTACTAGATTTTTTTATATCTTAGTGTAAGTGATAAATTTAATAACAGACTGTCTGTCTCATAGCAAAATAAAAGTTTCCTTTTATTCTGCCATAAGTGCCAGATTCTTTGATAGATCCAGTCTTATTCAACAACTATGGCTTAAGTTCCCAATATAGTTTCATTGTCTTTGTTTAAACACCTCTACTCAAGGCAACTCATTCTTTTTTTAAAAAAAGATTTTATTTATTTATTAGAGAGAGAGAGCAAGAGAGTGCAAGCAGGGGGAGCTGCAGGGGAGAGGGAGAAGCAGACTCTCTGCTGAGCAGGGAGCCTGATGTGGGGCTCGATCCCGGGACCCTGGGACCATGACCTGAGCAGAAGGCAGACACAACCGGCTGAGCCACCCAGGTGCCCCAAGGCAACTCATTCTTTAGTCAAACAATCCACTGCATTTTGAAATAGCCATCTATCAGAGAGGCAGCCACCACCTCCACTACCACCATCTACCTCATTCAAACACCATTATTTCCAGTCAATGATAGGAAGCAAGACAGTGAACAATTCTGATAGGAAGCAAGACAGTGAACAAGTTGGACTAGACACCCCAACTTTCTTACTCTCATGCTGAGCTTATCAAACTGGGCACTCCTACTTATAGATATTTGAACAAGGAGCTAGATGAACTGGGAGGCACAGAAGAAAAAGAGTCACCTAATAGACTCAACTATTTTACTTGGAAACTTGGGAGAATATTCTATACAAAAATGAACATGGTAACACTATGAAGTAGTGATTTATGTGATATATAAACATTAAATTAGAAACTCCAAAGAAACTACAATAGACAGATTAGAGCTATAACTCTCAGACTTTCCCCCAAGTTCTCATCTATTCCTTCTAATATTAATTTAGTCTATTCAGTCTTTAGAGCTTAAAAAAATAGAAAAATTTTGAAAACCCATCTTGAGATATTCCCACTGTTTGCATTATTTGCAGCTCACCCTGGCTCCAGACATACCCTGATTCTTCACTCTCCATACTCATTTTAATGCATTATTCAACCAACTATAATTTCAAATAATTTTTAGTATCTCTGAGGACAGTTGAAATAGATTGAAAAGAAGAATTTTCATTATGAAGCATGGAAGCATAATTTTTTCCAAATGTCTTGACTTGTAGGTTTCAAATGATTACAGAAATGAAGTGCTGGAAAAGAATTCTTTTCTTCTAAGAACTGCTAGAAGTTGTTGAATTGGGTCTAGGGAAGGCCATAGAGGTGAATTAAGCAGGAATATAAAAAAAGGAATGAGAGAATGTGACATGGACATGAAAAAAGAAAAACCAAATGAGGAAGAAGACATTGAAAAACTAATCTTTGTGTTATCCAATCTGTAAAGACTTAAAGAAAGTGAGGTAAAAATACATCTAGAGCGAGAAATGACATAAGTTGAAAAAATGAAGATAGAGGATAGAATAAAAGGGAAGGGAAAATAAAATTAATGACTATACTGCTGTAAGAAAAGAAATGGGAAATTTTAAAGAATGTTACAGGCTCAAAAAATACAGGACAGTGTCTCTGTAGGTTTGCATTTTATGAAGCAATTTATGAGTTGTGTGTGATGCTTTAAAAGGGACTATGTCATAGCCATATTTTCTGAACAGAAACATTAGCAAAACTTCTCTATTGGAAAAAGTAAATTAGAACAGTTAAAATTTTATAGCATGCTTATGCACAATGAATTTTTTCATGGAAAAAAAGAATCTAGCATTGTTGAAGACCTTTTTTTTCCTACCAAAGAGCTATGTATCCATGTCTATTTTTGTACAAAAAAGTTCTCTCAAGTCACACACAGAAAATAAGTTGTTTTTACTAGATGACAGGAGAGGGAGAATCAGTGAATCAGTTGAGAACATTCAAATTAAAACCAATTTGGTTAGTTTTTAAAAAGCACAAAGCATTCAACTCAATATTCAACTTCAAAATTGTAAATAGACACTATAAATCTTATTCAACTAATTTGGAATACAAAAATTTATCTATTTATACATAAGTGCCACACTAAGTCAGGGCACCTGGGTGGCTCAGTTGGCTAAGTGTCCGACTCCTGACTTTGACTCAGGTCATGAGCTAGGGTTGTGAGATCGACCCCCGAGTCAGGCTCCATGCTGAGCTTGAG